TGAATAACCGCTCTCGCCCCTTTAATGCACAGAGGCCACGCCCCTCATAGGGAATGATTGAGAGCTTTCTTCAAAATGTCTCCCATACTTTGAGTCGCATATACAGTGCCTTCCTCTTTCTGCAGCTGCCATCAGGGATCGGTCATGGCCCTATTTTTCAAAGTCGCAACGTCAGGGACCGTCAGGGACCTTTCATCGTGCAATAGTAAGGAAGTGACTGCGATTTTGGGCAGCTATCGCCCGTAATTCGGAGTAATCTACAGCGTGCGAACATCGTTATCCTATACTCCGAATGATGTCATTTGATCCCTGGTCCATCCCTGATATATGAACTTTAATCTGACTTGGACCACATCGTATGGTTCCCGGCATGGTAGATTCTGATCCCTCTCATCCATGGAATGGGAGATTGGAATGAATTGCAAAATGGTCCGTTGTAGTCGAAGGGTTCAGCAAATCTTGAACGAACAGGCATCTCCTCGATCATCGAAGCCGGGATATTATCAACTAGTCTGTCTAGCCATCGGGGTGGACAAGGGGCTGGTTGGACCCCTTGTCCACCTCGATGACTAGACTCCAGGGACTTACAGTGGCAGATCCAAGACAGTTGGGGAGCCAAAGTAGGGTACAGGACAGCCTCATTCACAGGAATCTTTGAAGAAATCACGAAGACGTCGAACCGGTTCCTCTTTACCAGGTACGTATTTCATTGCAAACTGGTCTGAAGACGTGCGATCTGAACGATGCCGTGCTGGTTGGGTACATTCAGATCGGAATAGCCAATGTTAGGTACATTGCGGTCGCGAAAGTCCCTTCCCATTAGACAATCGCACACTATCAATCGGGTCTCAACAATGGCTTCATTTGACCGCAGCGCACCCATCAGCTGCCTAGCACCCGATTGCGGACATTTACATATGGAATTCGCTCCCCATCTTTGGATATCGCCAGAGTTGCTGGGTTCAAAAGAGGTGTTAAGGAACTGGCTAGGTCCGCCATCCTTCTCAAGACCGGCTTTCAGCTGCAGCGTCGCATCAGACGGAAATCTGGGAAAATAATCTTTGAAAATTCGCCTGTTCTTCCACTGCTCAAAAGGATTTAGGGGTCCTGGGTAAAACGCATCCAAATTTCAAGGGGACTTGTGTCTCATGGGCCTGTGCAAGTCCTACGACTGTCCAAACCCATACAGCTCAACTGCTGTCCTTACCGCGAGCTGTTCTATGGGAGGGTATGTATCTCTCACAGCTGTTTTACAGCAAAAAATAGCCGAAAGCCACAGCCCGCTAGACTTTTCAACCTTTGTTTCGCGATTTCCGACTTCTGTGACAAACAACGGAGTAGCTTGTACGATGATTTTATTGTAGTGGTAGATCCGATTTCCAAATTGCTGGAAGTATTTGTAGCTCTACCACAGCCCTAAGTATTTACGGCCGTTACCGAGTTCAGAGCGGCTCTCTAGAACGCCCTTCACACTTGATTTCTACTGGAAAACGTCTAGCATGCGATGCTGATGTGCTGAACCATTTTCGAGTTGTCGTTCCAAGAGCGACTACCCCACAAGCCAGCCTGGCATCGAATAACCACCAATCCCCGAATTAGTTTGGTTACCAAAAAAAGGGCGTATTATTGTGAATGTTATTTTGCCAACCATTACTGCATAGTAACTGTGCTTTTGTAATCACGTGGCAATGCGCATGACCAGACTGTAAACATCCGCTTCCGTCCCAGGGTGAAATGAAATTTCAACCCAAGTGGAGGATTACATTTGTCTGTGTAATCTAATTGACCGGCTTGAATAGCCTAATTTTAAGAATTACTTATCAATAACAATTCTATATCTAGTTATATAGTGACAGTATCTCCTAGCATCACTGTAAAGGATTTGTAATTTTCTGGTTGTTTCTTTGATAGCAGATATATTGAAAATGCACGGCGTATACCAACTCAGTCACCACGCCACGTGGGGATCGTCCAAAATACAAAATCCTTGCTATGTCTGCAGAATGTTAACTGCTGGTATGATGTCCTAAGAGGATTAAATTCTTCGCTCCAATATGCCCTTTTAGGGATACTACGTGCATCTTGCTTCCACTCAGCATCATCCAATTATATACGAACTCGCACCTTCTCCAAAGAAGGCTTGAGGGGATGGTTTGTGTATGTTTAGTGTCTCTGCCCTCTTGTACAATATACATTCTAAAGGAGTTACTAACAGTAACCCCCAAAGACTGTCTGGGTGGTTCGTTTCGTCCCTCACGTCCCACTTTGTTCCTACTGCCTATCAAATCTTTTAAGGGCAGAGCCGAGCATAGTAAAATCTGGTCCTGGGTATAATACCCTATCAAATGAGTTCATCGGTGCCACTTGTCACAGCTCCATTTCCTCCTTCAAGGCTTCCCGTAGTAGAATCCTGGCTTGATGTAGAGCTTCCGGGAACAGTCAGCAAATTGTTCTTCGGTGAATTACTACGTGATTTCTGCGAAGTTTCTGTCTTGAAACAAAAAAACTTGTTTGGCTGCCTTTCCGATGAGCTCTCACAGGTCGATGAACTTTCATGCGAAATTCATAGAATCGTTGGCTGAAATCCACGTGCATGGATTGCTGATGTTAATGCTTATGCGCTTGTTGAGGTGATGACTTGGCTCCCCAAACAACCGCCGCCTTCCACCACCATCGCCAGCCGCCGTCATCGTTGCTTCGTCTTTTACACCGATGACTTACAATGCGCACTAAAAGACGCAGCCCATCGTCGTCGACCTGTTATGAAGGCGAAACCACAGATAACGGCCGATCGGTCGCTTCGCTCTCGATAACGAGCCGTCCCTTCCATCACCCACCAGAGAAGGGGCTTCCTATTGATTGGTATTGATCGACTAGGAACCAACCTATACAAGTTCCTCCCACCTCAGGACACATGTGTTTGGGCTCATTTAGACCACTGCTGCTATGTTCAAATTAGCTACTTTCAGTTAGATTCTGACTACCCTTGGAGCTCATCCTATTTAGGATATAGGGAAGTTGTGTCTGCACTGGACTTCAGGTATGAGCTGCGTTCATGCTCATAGGGGGGACCGGATCCAGCATTTGACCCGTGTTCCCGACATCGACAAGCTAATTTTACATGATTAGATCATCTTCCCAGAAAATATAGATCTACATATATTGCAAGTATAGGTTAGTTTTGATGTCTTGAGGGACTAGTGAACGGTACATATTATTACACTTTTACCAACCGCTCCCATTGTAACTAGGCTGTTATCATAGAAAGTGCTGACAAGCAGAACTAAGAAAAAGCTATTTATGGAAAGAACACTTGATATTTATCTCGTTCCATGTCTGTCACTGTGATAAGAGTAAACAAAGGAACGTTCCAGAAAGACGCTTCATATTATCACCGATAAGTGCGTTGGCAATGTATTTGCATTGCGAATTCACTGAAATCAACAGCCATTCACACCTCTGTGTAAAATCGATAATCGATCCAAACAACAAACGCGAGGAATTAGACCTAGGCAATGGACATGTCGCTCGATTATCGATTGATTTCGTAGTGATTAGAGTGGAGATGGAATGTGATGCTGAAGTAGCGCGACTAGTGAGAGACTGACGATCGCAGAGAGCGCATGGGGGGCCAATGAGATGGGTGCACACAGGGTGGTGGGAGGGTGTCGGACGGCACGAGTGGGGGGTGCGGATTGGGTACGCGAGCACCCAAGCAGGTTTATCGCTCGGCCCGCGCCGTCCCAGAGGACGCGCCCCAACCGCATCACACATACACACGCATTCTCCCCCACTCGCCCGTCCATCAGACACATCCTGCAGCTCTGTGCTGTACGTTCTAGGCTATCGGTTGTTCTTCTAAAGGGGATAAGATAGCGTGGGGTCAGACAGGGGCGGGTTGAGCTCGCTTTTGTGCCGAGGAAGCGTCATAAAGCGATTACGGCCGCGATGCGCTCGCTCTGTCGCCGCGATTTCTCGTAACAAACAATCGTATTCATGAGTTTTTCTTTCCACATGTAGCTCCTAGGTAATTCTCTTGCATTTCGAATGCAAATGGACAAAAACTGGATAATGTTCCTATTTCTAACCCATCTTATATCTTACAACATATGAAGCTGTCCTTACTAATACAAGTGATGACCAGATGCTGATTGTTTCGCTTTGTACATACATACATGCATACACACATACATACATAATGGTTTGAATCGCAGATCGCATTTTCTGTTCGTCTAAACTCACAACGTGTGCATCATACCGTTTCGCGGTCCTTTAAAATTGTGCAAATTTGCGTCGTAACTGATTTCAGATCGCGTCAGCGTGCTCTCCACAACTGAGGACATCATTTGTAACGGCTACGAAATGAGGTTAGCCTTAATAAATTACACTTTTTTAAAAATGTCATAGATGGTAGGGTATTCGCCTTTAAACGTCGCTTAGCGCCTTGCTGGTGAGCGAAACGAAACTAGATCAGTTGGGAACGTCAAAACATACACGTAGTCATCATCACCTACACATGACTTTCCACCATCATATTCACTACCGAATAGTTGCATATATTAGTTTGTTTACATTGGTTGGGACCGATAAATAAATAGTAATAAACAAAACATGGTAGAGTCGTATAGCCATGTTTCGGTCATATGAAATTCACATTTCTTTGCCGGCGCTTTCCTTACCATTGATCCCATTTGCTTTTGCGTGAAGAGCAGAAGAAAAAAATAGAGAGATGATGAGAAATCTAGCGTGACGCCCATCATTAATTTCTGCTGTTTTGTCGTTTCAATGACGACATCGGTCTCTGAAAGCGCACGGTAGCATTTCAATTACACTTATACTTGACGAATTCACTGAAAATGTAGTAACTACAAATTGTCAGAAAAGCTCATCCAGAACTACAGATGTAAACATTGCCGTTGGACGAGCGATGTCTCTTCCAGTTCTGCAAAGTTTTACTGAGCTTTTCTATTCTAGGCCTTCCCCTGGGGGAATCGTCTTCTATGTCATTTAGGCAACGAGTACCTAGTATCAGGTTGCAAAGGATAAGGATGAAGTTTTTGACGTTAGTCAATCCCAATTAGCCGATCCCGGAGGAAAGGAGGGCTTGATTGGCCTGGACGTGTATCGATCCAATCGATCGAACTCGTGGCCATGTGTTATAGTATGCCATTTGCCACTACACCACCCCTGCCCACAGTTTATGCTACCGATAAAAAGTTTTCTAAACAATTGCCCAATATTGTAGGAAATCCGATAAGGGGTGGGGCAGTTATTAGAGCTCCTCGTAGCAGTTATTTTACGATGGTGGTAAGTTTTTTNTTTTTTAAGTAAAAGCGAAAATTCAGTCCGCTACAAATTCCTATCGTAGTAATGATCGTAAAACTACTCTGATATAATACTGCATCTCAGAATGTGTGTTGTTGCCCTGAACCATATCGTTACCAATAGGGATTATTCATCGGATAGTGAAAGTATAAGCGAGAAGGGGAAATCTGAAACACGAGCCAAGATTAAGTTCGGCCTAAAACTCATACCGTAATCCACTTTGCTTCATCCAACTACTTGAAGCAAATAGTCGTCTAATATCATGCACTGGTTGCAGTATTAAAGCAATAGTGGGAAGGCGGTAAGAGTTTAGAATCATCTTGAAACTTCAGTGTTAAGTTTGATGCGGACTGGATTTTCGTTCCTTTTGAGAAAACGCCAACCTTTGGACCATGGTTGGCTTTTTCTCAATCTGAGTTGACTCATGCCTTTCACGAAAGTGTTGCAAGGTTTCATAGAGCCCATAGTTTATGCCGACGCCAGCAAGTGATCAGTGTTCTGGGATTTCAGTGCTGCCGCGCATGTATCACTACTATTAGCAGAAAGGAGAGCAAAAACTGCGGGATTACGGTAACGATTTATAGTGGCGAGGTGGTCGCAACTGTTCCACCCGGTACGCAAGTGGTCGTCGAGGCCAAGTTGCTCACCTCGGATGTCGATCACACTATCGAAGAAGTACGTCAGGAGACAATTCAACAGGTTCAGGAGGCTCTAACGGTCAGTTTTTCTATGTGTTTAATTGTTATCGAGTCTAATCATCCTTTGTTTGTAATACGCTTGCGCAAAGTTTTCAAAATAGCGTTCAGCCAAAGTTGAAAGTCCGAAGTTCAGTCAAAGATCATCCCCTTATGTTTTCCTGGGAACCAGGGTAAATATAGCGAAACCGTCTAGAACCGTCAGCTAACTCAAATTCATTCCTGTACCTGATCCGCTTACTTTTTTCTCTGAAAACGATCAAATTATCTAGAAACTCTATCTTTCGAACTCCAAACGCTCGAAGAAATCGATATTGATGGTCAAACCGATAATAGTCAAGTTGTTGGCCAAATAAATTATTAGCAATCTTGTTGGCAAACTTGAGGGTGGGGGGGGGGGGGGGAAGCTCGAATATTAGCCGTACAAAATAAAGGTAGATCATCAAAAACTTTCTTGACTGATTGTGAGTTCACAAACTTATTTGATGAGTGGTGTCATACAAGTTTCATATGAAGCTGTTTTTTCTCGGATTCTTGCTGATTACTGAAGTCAGTGCCCAAGCAACGGCTTATACTCACCAGATCAATTTTTGTTCTCAGTCTGCCCTCTTTGTATACCATTTTCTATTAGTAATTTTCGTTTTCCTCTCATCAACTATTCACAATAGGGAACTAGGGGAACTAGATTTTGGAAAAAATGTTGTTTTTTTCAAAATCAGAAAAGTGCTCATCATGTTTCTCTTTTATCCTGTATCTTTTCAACTTTATTCTGTTTTTTAACACATCTGATCCTTAGTTTTACATCTAGCAGATAAACAGGGTATAATCTAGATCTGATCCAGTACGGAAGTATGTCCACCAAACAACAACTATTGTTCATATTTTTTTTTTGCAACAGCTGCTTAATTTAACTTGTTCTTTTTTTTTATAATACAAACAGAATTTACGGAAAAAATATGTTGGAAGCTAGATCTGAAACTGTTATCGGTTTCCGACTTTTGGGAACATTAGTAATGAGTTGTGTTTCAAGAGATTAGGTTGATTCAACATGATTTGATCAAGCTAACTTCTTGAATACTCATTCTAATCGTTTATATTTAGAAACGAAAGGCTAAATGTTCTATATATACACCTGCTTCGCTAGCTGTTGACCACTTTTGCCGCTGATCTAGTAGAATTTCCGGCCAATGATGAACTTTTCTTGTTCAACTTTGCATGAATCGGCCACCAAATCGGGAATTGTCATTTCGGAAGCGTCTTATTTCCGCGTGATTGCGTTCAACAAGTGTTTTCATTCGAATTCTAACGAAAGTCATATGGCTGTGTTTTTAGTCCATCGTTCCGTCACACTGTGTTTGTTGTTATTGAAGATCGAGCAGCTGTGTGGGGTGCAGTCTTTGAAAGTTCTGCTTATTAGTTCTTCACTTCCTTGTTCCCTGTTTGTGTCAGTTGGCCCTCTTTATTGCTCGCAAACAGAAAGAATCTATTTTCGGGGTCACGAGGGATCGGACGACCCCATACAAAGTTACTTTTAAGGAGAGTTCAATACATTATAAATAGAACCATTGAGTGAACAGGGTAAGGAAAACATACTTTAATAGGCGCTGTTTTTGATACACTCGGGCGATCAGGAACCACGAAGGTTGTAAACAGAAGCAAATGAGAAGGAGATTCGGATGGAAGTGAAGCCAACTTTGCGAGGTGAGGGAATGGAACGTATAGAGCTTTGCACTGTGAAACGGAAACCACCTATTGGAACGGGATTGTTTGTATGTATCGTTAGATTCGGGTGGGTGAAGCTCTGCTCCAGCGTTCATATTACTACCTCTTATTTTTTTGCCAAGCCAACTTTCGGCAATAATTAATTTTTCCCTGGAAGTCCTGACTTGAACAAAATTTTGTCTCATAGACACTAAAAGGCTAATTTCTAATTTTTGGTAGGGTAGTGGAGTCAGAACTTTTAAAATTATTTGTTGCTTTCTCTCATTATCGTTACATGATTTTGTGAAGTCTGAGGTCACTTCTCGAATTTTTCTAGTTTTTTCTTAGTTTTAAATGAAAAAGCTGCTGTTATTTGATGCTTTGCCACAGGAGGGTAGGTATTCGTCAAACCCAAGTACAATGGGAATATTTCAAAGTTTTTGATAGCTCTCGTAGGGAGACCTTTGCTACAGTATCTGCAAGGAAGTGATTTTGTTAAGTGTACTTTTCCTTCAAAACAAAAATCGTACGGGACGCCAGGTACCGTTGTCACTACGATGTAATCTGTTGTGTTCAAGTGCTTATTTTAAGAAATAGCATTGAACTTTGCTGATCGGTCGATACAACCAGAGATCTACTAATCACCTAAGGGCTATTATGTTGTTCATTTCATTTTGAACACCACCGCGCTGTTCGGGCGATCAGTTCACCATGCCATAACTAGTGAATTCGGCCATCAGAGATCGGTAGTTCACGGTTTTGTGAAACTTCTATTCCTACGACTTTACCAATGTTTTGGTCAACTTCCCGTTTTCGGTTTTTTGTGCAGAAAAGGATATTTTCGAATAGATGTTCATGTCGAAGTTGAAGTTCAATATTCAATAGTATATTTATAGCTTGTTAATCACCGTTTATTCTAGGTCGTTGGTCAACCGATACCGAACACTAGACCGTCAAATCGAACGTTATTCTGTAGAAAATGCGAAGGACATGGTTTGCAAGTGGTACTAAAGGGTCATGCATCTCGATGCCCGTACAATAACTGCCAATGCAAAACAGTAAGTGATCAAATGTCAGTCATTCTAGAACCTTTTTATCTTGTTGATCGATATGCATTTGTTCGCAATTCGCAGTGGTCTTGGCGATGGGCGCTAGCAGCGCATTTGTCACTCATTGTTTTCATCGACGAATATGAATCTTGCTGTGTTTCGATGGAAACTTTCAGAATTGATGGCAAATGCGCACGAAGAATTGCACTTTTCCGTACTGAGAATGAGTAATGTGTTCGTGGTGGATTACATTAGCCTAGTAACAATATTGTAATGTTAGAACTTGGTGCTTCGGTCTACTTGTAAAACTTGTAATGTAGGATAGGCAAGCAAGTGCGTGAATGATGGTCCAGGGCGAATGTCGTGACGTTTTGCATTGCGGTTACAGTCCGATACCGTGGAAAACAGCCGGACTACGATGATGCACATGAAATGCACGAGTTTCTCACAGTCAGCGTTGTGGTAACACCGTGATGATCCGATTTCATCGCCCATGTATTGCGAAAATTCTCTGCCTGCACTGACCAGGGAAGGGTCTCAGATTCTCAGTAGCCCTAAATACAGATCGGATGAGATTGATAGTCCTTCTTCCCTTACACCAACGGCCTGTCGAGTCAAGTGACTTCACTGAAAGTTTCTATAAAATCGATTCCGAACGAATGAAATACATTTTTCGAGGGCGTTCGAGTTGTAATGAGACTTTGGTCACATCCACTCTTTGGCTGCTTTTGTATCATCTTTGAGAACCGACTGATGCTTTACCATGACTCCGACGATGATCTCTCAGAACAAGGAATGGGGACAAAGTTAATATTTACAACTGTCGCACTAAACTCTGCTTGTACCTATCAGTGAAAGAAAGTGGGCGTGCAGGATGAAACGGTCTCCTTGCGAAACTTGTTTCAAGTTCTGTCATTCTTTCAGTTTACACTAAAGACTTTTCTGGAGATTCGAAGAAGTGTCATGGGCTTCTTAATAGTTTTTATAGCTTTTAAATTGAATAAAACAATTCCGTGCAGAATTTGCGCGCTATACGGTACAACAATACTTTTTAACCCATGAGGCTGTCATCAAAATAAAGATGTCAGTCGAAAGAAAAGAAAAGTTGGGCTTGAACAATCTTGGCTAGCGTCATGTTTGCGCGACAATCGAGGAAAGGTTGTAGGGTTCCGTGCGGGGCGGTATCAATACTGGGGATAAATGGAATGGGAAGAGCCCTCTGGTATCCTCTCCTACGGTGCTCTAGAGCCCTCATAGGGAAAGTATAGTGGACAGTGGTGAGGCACATGGCGCTAGGCAGTGAGTGCCAACTTGTTGCCAATAATGATGGAAAGTATCTTCACTCCGCAGAAGAGTGGATGTATAGGTGGGCCTGTGGATGGGTGTGAATCGACCAGGTTCGAAACGAACACTTGGAAACTGTCGTGCAGACAGTCCCTTTTCAGTTGGATAATTGAGCAGTGCCTCCGATGATACGAATGTACCTGAGAAGGCCAGAGATTCGGGAATATGCGCCCATGCTGTAGATAGGAGGATACAGCGGCGATTGACAATATTAGAGGGGGATCGTTATTAGGAATAAGAAGAATTTGGAGAAAAGGTTGTGCGTTGCGCTGGGCGCAGAGTTTATGCAAGTTGCCTCCTGGTTTACGAAAACGAAAATCTAGGAATATCCTTGAAAGGAGATCCGTGTGCGTTAAATGAAATCGATGCTTCGGATGTATTTTCAAGTGATAAGGAAATACATCAATGTCTTGGTAGTGAAGTGGTCATATTAATTTTTATTTATTCATTACTTTGCTTAGCGTATGATGGATATTAGTAGGCAGCTTATGTTCATTTGAATTTCAGTGTTCGAATGTTATGTCAATGAGAGCGAATGCCATTATCCGAAGATATCGCACCAGAACTCTTGATGGAGGTCTTGTCCTGAAGCCGGTTCATTTCAAAAACGGCAATACCCGTCTCAGAGTATTTCCGAAATACGTTGATGGTAAGTGCCCCTGCTTTGATTTTTCATTAGTTCTACATATTTAACGGATTCACGACATTTCTAGCTCTTGTGCTTTCCAGAATCTGACGCGTTACCTATTCCAATGGAGAGGAATCGAGAGAAACATTTGTCGGGCGATGATAATTCGTCGAAGAGCTCTGTAAATCCAACTACTCCTCCTGTAAATGGCACAGCTGGATCATTTGCCGTTAAGCGCAGCTTTAGCGAAGTGAGTAACCACGTTAAGCGTAATCTTTCACAGGGTATTGAAGAAAGCAAAAGGTTGTTTTCAGGAAACAGAACTACGTACATCGCCTAAAAGATCGTTAGCGGAACCGGCTACGGGGAGTTCACCGGTCGATGACCGTACGAGCTCGTTCTCACAGTACAACAGTTCTTCACAAGCGCCCAATCTCCTTGACATTTTGTTAAGTAAGTTTCTCCCGCGTCAGACTTTCTTTCAAAAGTTGATCTCTGATTCTTCTGCACGAATAGGATGAACCTGATAGCGGCTCTGCGACCTTTAATCGCTTTGCTAATCTGAATGACTAACCATTATTGGAACCACCGTAGTATTCATTCAAATCAAAGAATCTAGTCGTTGACGCCTAATTACTTCCGCATGACTCATCTGAGTCGCTGCTGTTTTGTGCACAAATATTAATCAAGCCTCAGTCGCTAGGCAACGATTAGTGAGTAAGATTATTTAACGAGTACGTGTTCTTTTGATGGAGGGGACTATGGCTTGGCGTTTAAATTAAAGGCTACTGATCCTTGAGCTGCAGAATTAGACATTGTGCTTCCGTGAATAAATAGCGCACTGCGTATGAGTTCCTAATTCCTAGAGTTCGCCATGGTGCAATAGGGCAAACAGACTTTGACCTTTAAAGGAACGTTTGGGAGGCAAAATAATTATGAAAGCGTTATGAAGGAAACATTGCCAAAATCTGATATAGCGGCGTTACCACTGCGCCAAAATCTGTTTTCTGCACGGTTATGTTCCTGGAAACATGGGAATATTCATTGTAGTAGCTAGGGTTGAGCGCATGGGGTGAGGCCAAAAGTAACTTTTTGCAAAATGGGCGTGAACTGGATCTTTTACGCCAGCCCGTTACAACACGGGCCACGAAATCTTTTGTTTTCGTCTTTAATTGAAGGAAAGATACCAAAGAAATGGTTCAGAATGAGAGCTCCGTCAAATCATGAGGGACACAGGGACTACTATTAGAATGAATTTTTCTCATTCAACTCATTGAAATAAAGCGTCGCGTAGAGAAATTCAGGTTGCAGTTTCCCCACTCATATGTCAAATTATTATATCAATGAGAAATGGCATCCACTTGCTCATGTTAATAGCGTTACACGATTCTCTCCTCGTAGATGCGTTTTTGAACACACATTTTCTAATTCCAGAGCACCAGCTGACGAATCGTGACCCCACAGCGGATTTGCTGGCGCAAGGACTTTTGGGCCTTCCAACCAACTACATGCCCATGTGTGCATATCAGCAATATGAACCGCCTTCGACATCGTTACTTGCCTCATCGTTATCTAGTCTTCCAACTGCATCACTCACTTACTCATCACCTGTGACCTCCTATGGGAATCCATTCGTGACAGCTCCAACACTCATGAACTCTTTGGCGAACAAGGGTGAAGAGAAAAATGTATGTCGGTTCTGCAATTTGTGCTTCTTCTACTTTGGAAATCAGTCCAATTTTAGGAGCCTGTTGTCTGTCCTACGAGTCAACTGAGCGAACTATCAATAGGCATGTCCGAACCACCTATCACTGAAGCGCCCAAGCTTACACCAGGAATGGTTATGATAGCAGGTGAGAATAGCTTTTAACGTAAAGCTGCTTTTCCCGTAGAGCCTTGTTTGCTCTTGTCCAAAGAAGGGACGTCTAGGAGTTCTCGAAGTTTTGAATGCTGGACTGGGACAACTTTTAAATGCGCATATGACGCGGATGACATTACATGACTTAGAACGACGTGAGCTTCCGAGATTAGGCCATTTCTTGCCACTTTTCGATGAAATCTCCCAACTGTGGAATGCAAGTTCTGCACGCATAACTGAGGCGTGGACATATGTGGATCTTTAAGCTCATCGTATCACCCCCTATTCATTGCCCTACTTTCACGACTATTAATTTTTGAATGAATTTTGACTTGATTACTTTGGAGTTTTAAGTTCTTCTTTTTAGGAACTCGCACCGAACGGGAACCTGAACCGTTTACTGCAAACCTCATGATCTCACCCGATGCAAATAGGAATCATCCCTTATTTAAGCAGTTCTTGGCAACCGTCAGAGAGTTGGAGAAGCAGATGCTTTCCCAGTACAACTCATGATATTTGTTTTTCTTTTCACAAATTTGACTTCCATATTAATTTTATTAAGATTCTAGCGTGTTTATATGGGTATGTTTGAAGAGTGGAATGCGCGTGTATGGTCCATGTTCCTTCTATTGGAAAGTGTAGTGCGTGAAGGTGATACGGCAGTCAAGCAAGGTTGTCGTGGAAGGCAAATGTAGGACAAAACGGGTGCTGCACGAATTTTCCTTTTGACAAACACGACGTCTTCGGTAACCCTAATCAAGACGTGAATTGTTGCCGAATGCAGCTTATGCGCATGCGGCATTCTCTGTTACTTTTGCCGTGTCACGTCCGCGTACTTTCATAGCGCTATAGGGCTTTTGGGACAAATGGACTTCAGCTTTCCCAGCTCTTATTGGAACCAGTAAAAATTTGAATTTCTCTTCCTCAATTTTGTGCGTGTGAATCTGTCAAGGTGTGAGCCCTGAGTCGCTATCGTGGTTATAATGCACGCTGACCTCTATGTCGCCTCCTGACTCATAGCCGAGTTTGTTGCGAAACTTCATGGTAGAATTACGTACAAATAAGATTCTTTTATATAGTAGGTTCACGTAGAGTGATTCGAATGTATTTGTGTGTAGGATTTTTGAAATTCTTAGAATATGTAATTGCGACGTTTTCCAATCGCAGACTCTCGCGAATCACTATTGTGGAATCGCTCGCGTTGTAGTCTTCTTGACGATTCACAGAAACAAAGCAATATGAACATCGCTTGTTCACGTGATATTGTCCTCTTCGTCTTTTCCTATAACCTGTTAACAGCTCATAATTAATTCCGTGAGTTTTGTTTTGTACCAGGAAATATTTTGTAATCTTATCTTCCCTTATCAGTGATAATGAGCCTTGACTTTTTTGTCATTGCACAGAACTACATTGGAACATTCAGGTGATTATTGGTTTTGTTAGGTTTTGTATGAAGTCTGATATATGTAGATGGTAATATCCAAAAAGTGGGCACTTTGTAAATTCATTATTAGACGGAATTACTTAGATACTGAAAAACTGTGATTGAATACTTTACGTAATGATTAAGATTCATATTGATTGGTTGTTAAGAACTATACACTAATCAGTCGTTAACAGAGTGACTCAGCAATACCTTCCTGAAATTGGAATTTGATACGAAATAAATATGTAAAACTGAAGTTGTTTGTTGTCGTTGAAGCAGGATTGGAGCATTTTTGGGATGGGTGAGCACGTAGCTATCGCCAGATTTGGGCTATAGCGCCTACTATAGCGAGCGGCACAACGCGTCGCCAGTAACTGCGCTCTGGACCTGCGTGCTCGTCTGGACCCTCTCAGCTCGATAACTGGAAATGTTTACTTCTTGTGATTAACTGAAAGGGATAAATACACCATTACGTAAATGCAAGGCTGGAGCAGTAAAACTGAAAAAGGAGAAAAAGGGCATAAAGCAGCGCCCACGTATCCATCAGATGCCGTGCCCGCGCCCATCAAGGCCCACAATCAAGAGTGTGCGGCGTGCTTCTACACAGACGGCGTGCTGCGCTTGCGGCACCCGATTATTCACTTCCAAGGAGAAGATTCGAATTCCCAATGGAAGCTTATGGGAACTGCCGCGGCAGTACTGCTGCTTGACTTGGAATTTGGGTACAAGAGCGCGATTCGGAGAAATGGTATATAGGTAGTTACTCAAAGTAAAATGAACCAATAATAAATATGTAACGTATTACTTTATTGAAACAGTACATACATGGGAACTAGTCTACGGGATTATGTGCAATACATTGATGGATCGAGTGTAAAAGCATCCTGGAAGGCACAGCGACGTGACGTCACCAGGGCCCTTCTTTTCTGAGTACGGTATTATGCATCCACTCGTCGAGTGTTTCTACATTGTAGTCAACTATGACATGAATAACCGATCGTACTCGATCTACTGGATGAGCAGCAACATAGTCAGTTAGTGAACCGTCACGTCCGTACATCACACTGCACCAGTCGACGACCACTTGACCTCTGAAACTCTTTTGGTTCAGAAGGAGGTCTACAGTTTACAAGAACGAGAAGTGGTAGCTTTCTATGATACCATGGATGTAAGACGTGGGATTCGCCCCTAAATTCTGCCCGCACATGACAAATCTTTGAAAGTGATCTTGCGGTATCAAACTGCAATGACCGTAACCACCCATCCATGGATTTTCTGCGGTACTGGGCGCTACGAGACCTCCCACGCTAATCGTAGGCCCCGGGTTTGCCTCCAGTGCGGAGTGAAGACGTAAGCTGTGGTCTCTTCAAGGCTGCGCGATAGTATGATGACGTTGCCCAATGGTCATTGGACTAACCTTGTCATTTGCCCAGACAGCTCTATACCAAGTCGTAAATCCTTTGTTTTCCTAGCTATCGCTTTTTCACTGATTGCAATGGCGACTGCGATCTCATCGCAATAACCGTACTGTCGACCGTTTTTGGACATCACGCCATTCCCTAAACAGCACATGAAAAAAACGCTGTCGTAGAGTGTGATTATCAGATTTGTCTCTGCCCAAAACGCCATATTCCATTCATCTTGCCACCCTGCCACCCACCTAACAGTGAGCGTGGGTCCAAACTAATCGGTGGAAAATGAAAAGGAGAAACTAGGCTAGTTTGTTACCTATGGAAGAACCTAAGCATATATTTGAACGAAGGGGAGTTGTAGGGTACTGGCAAAAGTCGACTCTGTTCCCCAGTTTAAACCTAGAAGTTCACGTACTCTACTCTGGCAGAATCAACTCATTCTAATTCCTCGTCCTAACTATAAACTGCGGCCCCAAGGAACCTCCATAAATGGCGCCATTTAGGTAGGCTTACAGTGATAATTTTTTTTGGCGCAGCATTTTGACAAGTAATCATCACTGTACGATTTGCATTTATACATTGAGCAAAAGCAAGACTAACCAATATTCGTAGCCAAACAGAGAAACGACGCCAATGGAGTATCTAATTTGAGATGAGATTGGAAATCAACTAATTCTTCATGCTGAAATAGAAGTTTTGGGGAATGCTCCATATCAAGAAACAGTGCAAACAGNTGCAGGCTAGCAGGAGTCTGATAATGAGTGGCTTAGAATCGTCTACCTTTGACATTACTCTCCATACTTTTTAATAAGTAAATAAATAAATGATGTGATTGAAGGAACCTTCCAGAAGAACAGGTCTAAATAACTGATGAACAAGGTAAAGAGCAATCTGGAAGACTTTGTAAGCCCTCATTCGGGTCGACTACTTCTTAAATCGATGCGGCTGCTCATCTGAGCTTCCTCTTTTGAAGGTTCTCGTCGTCAAAGCGCATCGATCGATTTCCCAAAAACCGAAACAGTAGGGATTCTAAGAGTTCTGCACATACCTGGGCTCCATTCAAGTATGCGTTTTCCCACGGCACCATAGTGATCGGAGTGTTCATCTCTTCCATGACGATCTTTGCTGCTTCCGGGTCAGCACCAAAATTGAACTCGGCAGAAGAGAATTCGCTCATGTTACCCACACCTGGACTCAGGTTGAAACTGATGACTCGATTGCTTGTGAGGCTTAAACACACCAATTGCTTTCATTGAACTCACCAAAATAGTTCCCTCCAAGGATAACAAGCTTTCGCAAGCGTTTTGCGAAGTTTTTGTCAATTTTGTAAGCCAATGCTACATTCGTTAACGGTCCTATACACACTAAGGTGACACCGTCGTGTTCCGTTGTCAAGCGGATCAGCGCAAGTGCTGCCGATTCAGCCTCGTGCATGGTGAAATCCTCAGGAGAGACCTAAACCGATGCAGCTCTAATAAAACAATTGAACTTACAAATTTAGTAGTAGGCCATAAAAGTATGCAAGTCTCCAAATGGTCTTCCCTTTAATGTACATTATGGCATTTAGATGTTCAATGGGCACAAAATGGGTCTTCAGGTTAAGGTGGCAGCTTTGCGGGCCTGTAGTTACGTTAAGAAACGATTCCGAGCTAGGGGGATGGAGTTTCTGGCTTAAGCCTCAGCAGGGAGAACAACAGGGGTAAGCGGAATGCTGAATTCATGGAACGCAAAAAAAGTTGGAGCGGAAGAGGGTTCAGCCAGTAAGAGACTGTCTCATCGGGAGAGCGCAAGCACTCCGCTCTATCGGCCCGGCTTCTTAAATGGAGCGATGCTGTGTTGCTTTCAATTCACTACAATCCTTGGCTACCAAATGTAACGAGAATAAAGAAAACTACATCCACGAATTGCTAACGACTTGACGCTCCTAACAGTCAGCTCTGGATTCCTGAAAATAGGCAAGGCAAACTAGTCATTACTTCTGGGAAAAGATCAGGTCGATCGCCGACACCATCTATTCCAAAGAATGGATTCATCACAAATGGCTTTCGTATGAGTGCTTCTGAAGCTCCCATGTAGACGGGAATGAGTTTCTGGAACACTCAATTAGGAGAAGTACTTCCAGGTTCATTCTATGAAAAGAAATCAACTTTACCTTAAGAAGATTGGCTCGTTGAACTCGTGCCACATTTGCGGTCGCCTGCTCTACCTTCACACATCCATGGACAGTGGTGATGGCGATTAACTGAACACCAATAAGGGTGGAAAGAATGTTCAGCAAAACAGCGAGATTTCCAAATGCCAAAAAAAAACTGAGTACTTATTTGTTAATGAATGGAATCCTTTTTGGAGCTGAAATTGCACAGTCTGCATATTTCCATCTCCTGATTGATAGTGTAGCAAACGGATGAATGTGAGAATAATCCCACTCGAGATGGGCGGTAACCGTCTCGTATAATTCAAAATTTTCATTCAAAAGTTGCTTTCACTAGTTTTTTAGTTCCCGGGTGGGTGGGTGCCACTATGATTGCGAAATCAATTCAAATCAATCCCCGATTGGTCCTCTTCGAACACCCTCCCCGCTTCCTCTTACCCTCTTCGCTGAGCATGGCTAGCGCCAATAGGGCTTAGAGGGATAGTTATGAGATTTGAAGTTCCTGCTTTCTTTTGTACTCCTTCAATACTTAGATGAAGTGAGACTTGAGCGATAGGAATCTGGTTTAACTAGAGGTTGGTTCGTTTCAGGACATTTTGTTGAACCCAAATGGCCATTATAGCTTTGAAAGACTTTGTAATGCTTCTTTAAGGACCATGAATGAGTAATTCGAGGGATTGGAGTGGCCATGTCACATTCACATTTAGAAATGGTGAATTAAAAGGCAATTCACGAGCTCCCTAGTCAACCCAAAAGCTAACTATCTAATCCACACTCTTCAACATGTAGCCCTCGAACAACTTCACAGACCCCTCCCAAGGTCTGAACCTGAGAACGTTTTTGAACATATGAATTGGTCCCTTCCAAGTGAAGTTTCTTCGAAGATGTAAACTGGAAATACGAAGAAGTAGTTGTACAAAAACATCAGACGGCTTCGGAAAGAGTTTCATAATGAGGAGAGCCTGCCTGCCAGTCGAGGAAAAACGAAAGATTGTTCTGCCACTTCTTCAGTCCTTCTCTAGTTACTTCGTAACTCAGTAGTTGTGTCTCCCTTCTATTCCTACCTAAAGAAGGGACCCACTGGTGCAAAGCAAGCAGAGAAGACTTCCCGCGCGACCAACAAGACAGTCGTGGTTTACCAACTGCTCGAGACAACTGCTGCATACCCTGCCAGTTGACAATTGACTCGAAAATGAGTTATCCCTTTGAGGCGATTTTTAATGGCAGAGGAAGCATTCTCCATTCTAGGAGTGTCTCGACTTGAAAAGTGTGTCTAGAAGCAACACCACCTACTTTGCGTACTATACTTTCTCAAACTTCACGCTCTACTAGTCCTTCATGGCTTCGGATAAGAGTGCCTCCTAAATATCGCGAGCTAAATATTAAAATGAAGATCGTAGCGTCTGGTTGAGGATCGAAGACTGTGAAGGAGTTGATGGGCACAACTATTCTTTTATTCGATTGATCAATTCATTTTAGGGTGTGCCTATTAGCATGTGGAAACCTAGAAGCTGCTTGAGTGTGTATTTCGCCTATATAATGAATAGTAGTTGGAACAAGCCAGTACTCAAGTCACTGCCGCGCTTTTTTCCCATTTGGCCATATACCTGCTAAAGATTCCTGAGGCGTCCGAGTGGGTATTGACCAGAGATTTGATCTCGATCAATACGCGCTATAGCGTGGGCGAATATGTAGGCGGCTCCTCTGAGCAACATCTCACGGAGAGGATAAGGCCAGACATTGGCATTTGGTTAAATAGTTTAACCAGAGTTCCGAATTTCCGAGTTCGCGATATGGGAATTTGGAAGGGAAATTGAGGTCTTCTAGCCATTCCTTTACACAGAAATTGGATGTAATGAATGTTATCATGGGGATATTTCTTTACGAACATTTTTAATAGAATTGTGATAAATGAACTCAACGGAGTAGACCATACCTCTACGTCAGGGTGTTGTATTGCCAAAGAAATTGCTCGCATATCATCAGAGACTCCATCGGTGTCTGTGAAAACCTCTATCAATAGTGCAAACTAACTTTCAGGTATAAATAGTTACAATTCTGTTGCAAATCCAGATTTCGATCGGTATAGATTAAAATTTCCGAAGAATAAAAGTTGCGAAATGAAAAGATCGAAGGTTACAAGCATCAAACGAGTGCCATCAACGCTCTGGGATAGGCTACGCTTCCGACAACCGTTCAGAATCGTTTTGGGAAGGTTTATGAGATTATGCGAGGGTCAAAGGTTGAGACGAAGATTTTTTTTGGTTTCAATCAACTTTGGGATGCGCCTCCGGATTGGACTTCCATTCAGAACGGCAGTGGCCTTTTGAATGCGTTTATGGCTCATACAATGATTGTCGATGTACAGGCGAAAGTATCCACTTGAGGAGTCTGGTACCAGTAAGCCAATTCCAAATAGGTGAAAGGCTTGCTTGGTCTGGGCTTGATCGATTTAGGTCTCGAACCGAAAAAACCCCACGAACCACAGTTTGGAAGGAAAGATTGAAAAGCCTACCCGACAGAGGCTAAAACGAAACCAAGCTTCGACTGAAGCAGCTTACGTTTTGGAGCGAAAATGAATGTAAACAGCTATTGTTGATGTTATTTTTCATTACAAAAATATTCTGATTAAGTTCTGACTCACCTATGATCATCTTCATTTTCATTTTGTGAAAAATATTTCCGGTAGTCACTAAAAAATATGACAAGGGACAGGTACAAATGAATGGCACTGGCGAAGCAACTGATTAGACAAAACTTCAAACATCACTGGTATTAATTATAAGCCTTACTTCGGGCTGATAAGGTAGGCATAGACCGCTTGCCAACCTGGAAGTAGTCGTTGAGTATATGTTGAACTCAAAAGGGATGTGTTTTGCTCCGTCGCAAATCTTACCTGTGTAACAGTTATAATTTTGCACTGAGGAGTTGCTTGGTGGCTGTCAAATAAATAGCGAAGGAAAAGAAGGTGTGGTTAGAGGGAATTCTAAGTTGTGGTTAAAAGACTTTCTTCAATCAACAAGCAGTCTCTAGTCAAAATGCCCTTCGAACCACCCTAAGAATCATGATTGTGATCGAACTCATTACCCAGGTTATGGCCTTCAACCATATCCTCATACCCCTCTCGAGGTCCAAGCATGAGAGAACCTCTGAACAGTTTGAGCACTTCTGCAACCCTTTCCAACTGAAGTGGCTTAGATGGTCTGAGTTGAAACACATGAAGGAACAATTACACTAATGTCTAAGCCGCTTCAATCTGCTTCGATTCTTCTCTAGTTCTACCCTAACCCGTCACGGTGCCTCTTTTCTGTTTCTAACCAAATAGGGACTCTTTCTTCTGCAGCCAAATGGTCACTAGCCCACTGAGAGGACGCACGACAATCGGGAGAGTTTCCCGCGCGATCAACGAGGCAAGGCGCAAGCCGTGTGCCTCCGTTCGAAACAACCACTGTGTTTCCGGCGGTTGCTGATTACCTTACAAGAGAGTTACCTTTTTTATGAGGCTACTATTAATCAAGGAGGAGGCATTGTTTATTTTAGGCATTAAGAATCAGTAAAGTTACCTCTCATGCCCACATGTTCTCAGTAGTTACCCACAGGCGGTGATGTTAGGCCAGGTACACAGCAATGTAGGTTGAAGAAGCTGCCGGTAGGTGCCAGAGTCGTTTAAATCACAAAGAATTTTGCCGCGCAGTTTCCCGCGTCTATCCGGAACTGGATGAATGTTCCGCTCCCCCTCTGTGACCGTCAGCCACCGCACTCACGAACCGTGTACTGTTTCTGGGGGACAGAACTTCCGTCCGAGGATGCGAGCAGCAAATTGTGCGGAAAAGATCGTGGGGATTCGAACGGCTATCATTGGGGCCCAAACTTGAAGTAGATTCGTTTAGTAGGGTCAGCCTAACCTACTGGTCTACTCTACTTCGAATTTGGGCCTCGATGCTAAGCGCTGAAGTCGTTCGAATCGCCACGAACTTCGCCGCGCAATTCGTCGCGCTCAGCCTCGGACGCACGTATGTACCTATACCCCTGTTTCTGTAGAATGCCAGTTGTGCAGGCATAACTAAGGCGTGGACATATGTGAAACACCGTATCACACCACATGCATCGGCCCACTTTCACTTTTATTGATTTTCGAATAAATTCCCACAGATTATTACTTCGAGTTTGGAGTTCTTCTATCTGGGAAGTGGCACCGAACCAGTACCTGAGTCGCTATCGTGGTTATGACGCGCGCTGACCTCTATGTCGCCTCCTGACTCATAACCGAGTTTGTTGCGAAACTTCATGGTAGAATTACGTACAAATAAGATTCTTTTATATGAGTAGGTTCGGAAGATTCGGTGAAATCAGAAAC